GCGCAACTTACCTTTGGGCTAGTTTGTGCTCGGAAGATCCGGTTAGTTTAATTGTGGGTGACATGCATCTTCTTGCAGCAGGGCAATTTATTCGCTCCAATCTGGGTCGTCTTCTCTTTCTTTTCTTTCACGGGACTGATGTTTCAAGCCCCTTCCTTTCTTGGGCGCCTGTGGTCAGGGTCTGTACCCGCCCTGGAGGGGGTTGCGGCATGCCATACGGCCTTTTTCCAGCAGGAGGAGACAGTTCACCGCAGCTTGCCTTCCTTGAGCAGTTTGGCCCCCATGTGGCAGAGTGGCCCCCAGTTACCTAACCTCTCTCTCGCTCTCTCCTCTAATGGTCTCTGTGCAAGGCACCATAGCAACCCTGACATACCCTAGCGACACTCACTGCATGAACCATCCTCGTCGATGCGCCAGCGCTGGACAAGCGCACCGCAGGAGGTGGCGCTCCCCGCATGTGGCGCTCGGCAGTTCGGGCAAACCTTGCAAGACTGGAGCTGCTCACACATGTCAAAGTCGTGGCTTTCCTGCAGTTAATCCTAGTAAAATATTACAGAGAACGGGAAGTCCGTGGGCCCGTGTCAAAAACCTCCCTTGACAGACGTAGTTCAGCCGCCAGACCCCAAAGCTCGTCAGGGTTTAGGGTTTATGCAAACAGTCACTGGGACCGTCTCGAAGCATGGCAAAAGCCTGCAATAAAAATGAGGGTGCTCGATTAGGGTTCCCCCCTAGTGAACGCCTCGGAAAGCATTCTTGTGATGTACCTGCTTCAGATCCTGCGCCCCTCGTAGCTTGAACCTGAACCCTCAACCCCAAACACTACCCTCGCGAAATCCACCACAGCCCGAACCTATATGGTAGGAGATCAAAAGATCTGCTGCCACAAAGGCCCCATACTTCCCTTATACACCCAGGAACGGAAATTTTATCAAGGTTTAGGGCTTCGGGTTTAGGGACCTTTAAGTCAAACCCTAAACCCTAAACCCTAAACCCTAAACCCTGAACCCTGAACCCTGAACCCCAAATTCTGACACGGTGCGCCCGTGGTGTGGGATCGAGCGCCGTCCTTCCTTGGAGTCGGCGCCAGGAAGGTCCGGAGTGCCAGGTTTTCGGGCCTTAAGGGCTTAGTTTAGGGTTTCAGGGGAACCCTAAACCCTAAACCCTAAACCCCAAACTCCAAACCCTAGCCCCTTTTGAGCAACCCTAAACCCTAAACCCTAAACCCCAAACCCTAAACCTCCAGAATGGTTGGCCTGCTTTCAGAAGTGGCTGTTCAGGGTGTCGCCAGCAGTCGCCCTCCAGACTCCCAACAGTCCCTCGGCTTCCTCCTCTAACGTCGATGCCCTAACTTCGGGCTTCTAGGACGTCTGAACCCTTTGGCTACATTTGAAATCTTGAAAGTAAGTTGGCCCTCGAAAGAAAAACCTTGTACCCGACCTTCAGCTCTACATGGGGCTCTCCTTTCTCTTCACCTCCCCGGATGGAAAGAGGCCATGCTTTGCATGGCTTTCGTGAACGAGAGATGACGATGGCTCGGTCCCAGACGCACACTGGCTCGTACCCTGTTGGATGGGGTAGGCGGTGCAGATTGCGGGCCGGATCCGACTCTCTCTTGGGTCGAGCCTCACGTGGCTTGGTGGCTGGGCTTCCCGATATGTTGGGGGCTGTGGATTCTGCTAACGGAGGTCGTCGCACTGTGGGCATCCTCCTGATGCTTTTGTGAAAGGCATGTCTGTCTTCCCGGCATGCATCTTCGTAAGGGGGACGGCATGGTGTGTGGTTCGGCAGTGGCTCCTGGGATTCCTGGGACGCACCGACCTATCAAGCGTTACTGGAAGGATCTCGGTGGAGACTGGTCACCTCCATCTATATTCGTGCTGTTGGGCTCGTGGCCGCTTTTCGCCCTCAGCGATGCACTGAGCTCGTCTGTCCAGGTCCCACTGAATCGAGCGTTGAGCTCCTTGTACTGCACAGTGTGGAGGTGAGCTGCCTCTCTCCGTATAGCTAGCGTTGCTCTGTTTCGGCGTTGTCTTCCGTCGCTGGGTCGGGCCTTGGTCTGTACAGATTTTGTTGTGGCGTGCCACTTTCTTGCTGTGCCCCAGTTGTGTTTGGACCTTTCCGGTCGCATTTCGCTGTAGGGCCCTTCCGGTCCAGGGAGCGGTTGCATCGAGCACCATGCTCACGCACTGATGTGTTTCGGTCATGTGATTGGAGAGTGTATAAGACGCTATAGGTGACGGCTGTCCTCAAGTAGGGGTAACTACTGTATGGCCTCCATAAGGCTCACCCTAAAACCCTAAACCCTATAAACCCTGAACCCTAAACCCTAAACCCTGCAGGAACTTTCAGAGAACTTGCCAGGCAAGGTGCGCAGACGCGCGAAGATGGCGCCGCAAACAAAGGGCGTGGAAGTGGTGGCCGCACCTGCATAGGGTTTAGGGTTTCTAGGGTTTAAGGGTTTTTAGTGTTTCTAGAGTTTAGGGTTTAGGGTGCTGAGTTGCCAAAGGGAAAAGAGCGTTTGGAATTAAAAAGGAGAGGTTGAGGCAGCCCTCCGCAAGGTTACAGGTGACTGGCTCGATGCAGAAGGAACTGCAAGAGGCTTGAGTCACAGCATTCTCCTGGCTTACCTCAACCCTCCACGTACCACCGTGTTTAGGGTGGTCAGTGGAAACAAAGCAAGTAGAACGTAGAACTGTGGACTGCAGCATCTTTCAAGAGGTTCCTACATCTACATCCCTCAGTGTCAGCCACTCCCCCAATGGGGTCTTGGCCACGCGCTTTTGTGCTTTACCTTCTGTGAGACTGCACCCCCCAAACCCAAGCACATCTCCTTCCTACTCTCTTTTTTTGTTTTGCGCACTCTCTCCCTCTCTCTCCCCGTCTGTGCCTTCTCGGTTCTTGAATGCTTTGTGATCCCCAACTAGCACCTATGCGACGGTTTAGGGTTTAGGGTTTAGGGCTTTGTCCTATCTTGCGGCTTTCATGCCAATGCTGTACTGAGATTCGGGCGCTTGATTCGAATCAAACTGAGCTTATTGAGGATCCCGAACCTTTCCCTGCGCCTCTAGGCTGTCATATCCAACTCGCAGGATGCGAAACTCTAAATAAACCCTAAACCCTAAACCCAAGTTATATGCCATGAAACCCCCATGGAGGCCCCGCTGTTTTTTTCCAGGTCGACCGCGTGCTGGGAACTTGCCATTGCGAGCAAGAAGCTCCACCGCACAATCGCGGGAGGATCTCCCCAGCTCCCACAGAAAGGTCCCTGAATAAATGAGCTGCCCCAATCACAGTAGAGGGTTCAATCGCCAGCCGGGGTTTAGGGTTTAGGGTTACAATTATGGGCTCTTCGCAAGTTGGCTTGTAGGCTTTTCTTTGGGCTTAGAACAAGAGTGGCCGACTGTCTGGATCCTCCCTACATAGGCGTCTGGGACATCAGATCGGCGTGCAGCTTCTCGGAGTTGGGCGGAGTCCTGAACTGTCAGGTTTAGGGTTTAGGGATTGGGGTGTAGGGTCTAGGGTTTAATTTAGGGTTTAGGGTTTGAGAGCTGAGGGTTTAGGGTTTGCTGGTATATGGCGAAATGCGAAGAATAGCCATGGCCCATTGTGGAGGGCCATCTAGCATTCTTCTCCCACCCCATGCCGTCTCAGGGCGACAAATCCACCTTAACCTATTTTAGGGCTATAGGCCTCAACTCAATTGTTTGCAGGGATTTTTCCTGACCTCAAAACAAAAGATGAAGATTAACAGCCAAGGCCGGCAGGAGTGTCCCAATCGGGTCCCAGGGAGGGTTTAGGGTAGAGACCATTACTGGTGCTCCGCGGAGCTGTGGGAAGCGGGCGCTTGCGCCATCGAGGTCGAGGGGCTTCTGCGCCCCCAGTGTAGGGGGACGGGCTAAGCCTTGAGTTTCGGAAGTACTAACCTGGGATGCCGTCTCCCCTCCCCCACGAAGAAATAGAAGGGAATCGCAGGATATGTGGTCCGTAGAAGAAAAACATGCAGCCAGTACCCTAGGGCCCTAGTCAGATGGAACTCTAACTCTAAGTTCCTTGCCTATTTAGGGCTTGTTATGAAGTCCACCCCTTACGGGTTGTCAGGTAGATCAATTTTACTGCGCTTATTGTACTTCCCGAATCCTCTTTGGTCTAGGGAATCTTTTTCTGGCCCTGGGGTTAACCCTAAACCCTTTTGCATCAGGATTGCACCCATAACCCTGAAACCTACATCCAAAGTCAAACTTGGTAGCCCTGTAGCTGTCTTCTTGTCAGAAACCCTAAACCCTAAACCCTTTTTTTGGGGCTGCTTGCTTTACAAGGGAACCAGGAACCAACAAAAAAGGTAGAGGGTACCACTGGGCTACCAAGTAAAGATCCAGGAATTGAGACTCGCACCCCCAAGGTTGTACTCCTAAAGGTTTCCCGCAAATATGCTCCTACTATGGCCCTTCTATTCCCTTAGAGGATCTTTAAAATGGGTCCCAAAACCCAAGGATACAACCTTAGGGCTCCGCGATAGAATCCCAAGTAAAGAAGCCCTAAACCCTAAACCCAAAACCCTGAACCCCTAAAGTGTAGGAGGGAGGTCCTTGGCCCTGTTCAGCAAGTCGACCGTGCACGGCACCAGCTCGAGCCTCGCTTCTACGCCTCGGCTGCCTAAGCCCCAAACCCTGTCAATTCCAGGGTTTAGGGTCCATAGGGTCTAGGGTCTAGGGTCTAGGGTCTAGGGTCTAGGCTCTAGGCTTTAGGGTTTAGGGTTTAGGGGCCCTGAGCCCTATTGCGAACACGCCCTAAGCCCTAAGCCATTCTCGCTCTCTCACCTTCGGCTCGAAGGTGGAAAAGGCAGTGAGATGCTTCATGTTTAGGGTTCTAATTCGGGTTTGGAGTTGGAGCCATTCTGGATCAGCCACATCTGCGCGTGCAGATTTGTCATTTTTGGACATTGCGTGGGGGGAAATCGATTCTGAACTTCATATGGCGAGGGGCCGGGAGACATCGAGCCACTAGTACTGCCGGCTGTAGATTACGATGTACTCCGGAAAGAGGTTCTCTGTGTCGAAGAAGACGAACTCCCGATACGTGCCCCGGCACTTCTTCCGGTCCTTTAAGCAGGCGAGGAGGACAAACCCCAAGGCCAAAAGCCTATAAACCTTAAACAAACTGTACTAGCACTCTAAAGGATCATCAAGCGATGTTTTTGGAGCTTGTGACCTGAAAAAGCAATGAGTTCTGAGGATCTGTGACATGGACGCATCCACCGGCGGCAACAAGCAGGGTTTAGGGTTTAGGGTGAACCCCTTGCCTTTAAAGCTGGACTTGCTGAATGCCAGACGCCCACCTGCCTTCTTGACGACCCTACAACAAAAGCTGACGACCCTAATCCTTTTTGAGACTGGAACTGAGGCCAGGGCAGCATCCATCCATCCAGCTTGTTTGACGACCCTAATCCTAAACCCTGAACCCTTTTGAACCCTAAACCCTAAACCCTAATCCCGAAACCGCCAATTTCTGGGGCTTAGATGTGGCCAAAAGTCGCCCAACACGCAATCGTACGGCCCCTCGATGCAGCTTCGCGTGAGGTCCTCTGCTTCAGGAGAGCACTCCGGTGCTTCGACCCTAAACCCTAAACCCTAAACCCTAAACCCTAAACCCTAAACCCTAAACCCTAAACCCTAAACCCTAAACCCTAACAACTGCCGGGCCTTTGAGCCGCTGCAGGTGTTTTTTTTTCCAAACTTGGGACAGAACCAGCCTAAAGAGCAACGCACAACTCTGCTGCGAGCTAACGTAGGGTTTAGGGTTTAGGGTTTAGGGTGGAGGGTTGAGGGTTGAGGGTTTAGGGCTTAGGGTTTAGGCTAGACCGTCCTCTGCATCTGGTTCCACTTCATCACCTGGTGACTCTGGTGCAAGTGGTGAGATGCTGAGCCCTTTGAAGGACATGGTCCAAAACCTGGAGTACCCTTTTTCCCCCCGACTGTCCTTTAAAGGATTCCCCCCCAAAACAGGGGTTCAGAAAATTCTTCCATTGCACTTAAACTTCGGAACCCACCCAAAATTTCCGATCCATGAGAAACCTCTCAGCCCTACCCTCGATGGATCTCTTGCACTTGTGATCTCGCCCTTGTCCAGTACTTTTTTTTATAGCAGACTCAGATAGAATCAGCTCACAAAAGAGCCCGAGTGTGTCCGAGTTTATGCCAGCCGCCTAGCGAGGTGGTTCAGGCTTATCAGGGCTTGAACTGGGGGCCTCTTCCTGGAGTGTCGTGGTTTATGTTGGCTTTTTCGGTCAGCGGATGTCTCTGGCGAGTTGCAGTATCGCACACGGCCGCCCAATGCTCGCACCAGCAGCATCGCGTACTCGCCATCTGCGGCCTTTGCATACCTGGTAAACCAAGCCCCTTCGGACGAGGCTCCCATAACACTCCTCATACCCAAGGGCACAACCTTAAAGGTTCCCGGGTAGAGTCCCATGAAACTTCCAACCCCCCGCCCCCCCGCCCTTCCCAAAGACAAAGAAACCGCCTACAGTAGCCTCCAAACTCACAGGAGGCATGTTGACAACAACGGCTTCGTCATGCACCCAAAATTCTGGACATCCAACAGAACATGGACGGACTGCAAACATCGCCAAGCACATCGCACATCACCATCTTCTGGCCCCCTCAACCCCAAACACCGCCGAGCGGCTCGTCAGCTTTGGTGATCGACTCCGCGAAATAGGTGCCGCGGCCGTACAGTGTCCCCGTCTTGTCCTCAGGAGTCTCTCTGGGACGAGCACTTGCCGCCCCGAAGTCTGCTTGGCCTGCAGAAACTTTTTGTCCAAAGTCCCCCTAAACCCTAAACCCCGCTAAACCCCGACACCCTAACCCCACCATCCCGAGTCCGAGTTGCACCAGCCAGGCTGATGCGGAAGTCGCTCCGACCTTGCTTGTTGCAGTCGACTGGGCTCCACCCGGGTTGAGGGTTTTCAGACATGGCTCTAGACACAAATTTCCAAACCAAGTCCCAGGAGCAAATCTCCAGCGCCGCTGGTGGAGCGGTGCCGTGGAAAAGCACCTGCTTCGGGTTTCGGGTTTATAGGGCTTAGGGTTTATAGGGTTTATAGGGTTTACAGGGTTTAGGGATGTTTAGGGTTTGTAGGGTTTCGTGGGCTTATCGGGTTGGGGTTCAGATCGGGTTTAGGTTCCGATGCTATGGTGGCTGCGAGGCGGAACGGCGACATGCCCGCACCGTAGCGGGAAGATGGCTTCCCCCAAGCTACTATTTGTTTTAGAATCCCAACAAATGCAGATAATCCTGCTTATATTGCCCTTGTAAGGAAGAATGTTTTTCATATTTAGGGGGCTCTTAAGCGAAGAGTAGAAAAGGCACCCACTCATTGCACGCCCGTTGAAGCGGCTCGATGCCACACGCGTGGGTGTAGCTCGCCCATTCCTCAGTTGAAACGGGGCCTTATGACCTTGGGGACCAAATTAACCCTAAAAGGGTTATGGCTAACATACCCTCAACAGGAGTGACTTGAGGGTTTATTTGGGGGATGCATTCTGGACAAAGATGGACACAGGGCCTGTTTTTTGCCTCCCGTCCAGCTGACCCAAGGCTTTAGGGTTTAGGTTGTAGGGCACGAAATGCATGAAGAAGAGTCTGCACTGGACTGCACGTCGTAGTGCTGGATGGCTCTGTCTTTGGCATCCTTGAGCAGCTCGGCTCGCCGCACGGCGTACTCTTGCCTAGGCTCGCCACCAAGTTTGATAGCCTTAACGCGAGGTGTCTCAAGATAGCACTCCCTCAGAATACTTTCATAGGAAGGTCCCGCGACCTTCCTACCAGTAGATGACCTGGAAGAGACTAAGACAATCCTCTGCGAAGCTGCAGTTGCTGTGATGTAGCCAATTGTTGGGGACCAAGTGAACCCTAAACTTGGGGTCATATGAGTCATCTGCCCTATACTACTAACTATTCAGGTCTTTGGACCACAAACCCTTTTAGGGTTCATTTGAGCGACCGTCAAAACTCTAAAGGTCGGGCCTAGGTCGCGCAATAGGGGCGTCGCTTTTCAGTGTTCCCCGTCGCTTTACAGGGATTTGTTGGACACTTCAGCGTGCAAAATGTCCTGCCAAGATAGAACCGCAATTGCCATAATTAGTTTTGACCCTTGCCCAATTTGGTACCCAAAAAATATCCAGAGGTACACATGCGCAGCGCACTTGTGTCAAGCGAGCTGCCAATTCTTGAAGTTCTGCGCACGGTATGCCCGCACCACCTTTGAAAAGTGGGCAGCAAAGCCCCCAGCTTTCAAGGGACTAAAGGAGGGACTCTTCTAGGGACCTTCGGGGTCATTCAGGGGCTATTTAGGGGCTACGCAAGTATGTAGGGACTATAGAAGGTGTATGTATAGGTTTTATGTAGGCGAAAAGGATTGTCCCTGCTAGGGTCCCTGCTTATACCCCTTAAAATCTGCTGTCGACTGCATCCACAAACCAGAAGCTAGAACCACGTGCTGTCGTCCGACTAAACTTCTCCAGCCCTATCCTCCGTGAACCATTCATAACCAAAATGTAGACAAAGGCTCAACAATCCTGAGCCCCCACATTTCAGTTGCAGAATCACCCGGCTTCTGAAGATCTTCCAGGGCCCACTCCCTCCACGGCTTCTGCCACTCACTTTCTCACTTTGAGCTCCAAGTCACGCGAAAGCCGCGAGGCACATTCGGGTTGTCAGGGTGATGGCGCTTTCGATCACGGGTCCACACGTTGCTGTAAGTGCTGTCCTCAAGTGTCGGGCATCGGGGTTTCGTTGCGAGGTCACGCCTAAGAGGGATGCAAAAGACAGTTCATGGTTACAGGAGAAGAGCCGTGATGCATCACGTGCGCGCGGTCCAGAAGCATGTTGCAAGCCCACAAACCCTCTCTCTCTCAATCCCAGTTTGCCAACAGATGAAACCCCGCACAACCTGGGAATCCCAAACTAAACAAGGCTCAAAAAGTCTCGCCGGACTTCCAACACATAGCCCCTTTGTCTGATAACTTAGACCCCTCGCCTGCTCCCAGAACCCCAGATCTTCTATTCCCTCTTCTCCCCCCACCAAGGGCGAAAGCAAGTGGCGAGCAGGCGCTGAAGCAGCTGGCAGTGATCTGGAGGCAGCGGAATGATGGGTGCTCCTCCAAGCGCAATTGGTTGATGACCCCTAAACCCTAAACCCTAAACCCTAAACCCTAAACCCTAAACCCTAAACCCTAAACCCTAAACCCTAAACCTAAACCCATGGACTCTTTGGGGTTGAGAGCCCATCTTGGGCGAAGAGAACGGCTGACGATCCGGGCCTTTGGATGCTGACATCTCGGCTGGCGGTTGCACCCAGTGCTGTGGTAGTGGCACTGACCTCCTGGGGGAATAGGGCTAGGGTTTAGGGTTTAGGGTTTAGGGTTTAGGGTTTAGGGTTTAGGGTTTAGGGTTTTTTTTTTGCCACCCGCTTAGCTGACCTCTCGGACACTCTGCAGGGGTTTAGGGTTTAGGGTTTAGGGTTTAGGTGTCTGTAGGGGCTTTTATTGCTGCTTCTTTGTAGGAACCAGGGGTTTTTGTGCAGGTCTATAGGAGAGGGGGGCAATGCCTCTGGTCCACAGGAAGCTAGTGCAGCACTAGAAGAACCCTGCACATGGATGTGGCCCTTGAAGCCATGAATAAAAAAAAAACTGACAACCCCTGCAGGACATCCACGAACTTTAAAACCCTGCCAGCCCTAAACCCTTCCTTGGGGACCAAAAAAACCCCAAAAACCTGGGGTCAGAGACCCTACGTTACGAAAATGCTATATGAAGGTAATATGAACCCCTAAACCCTAAACCCTATAAACCACCCTAAACCCTTTTTAGGGTTCCTTTGGTCCCCAAGGTTCGAGCCCCGATGATGCAGCCAGAAGTCATTTCCCGCGAGGCACCCAGGCGGTGGACCATCCTTGGCTTGATCTTATGGTTGGTTTAGGGTTTAGAGTTAGGGTTTAGGGTTAGGGTTTAGGGTTTAGGGTTTAGGGTTTAGGGTTTAGGGTTTAGGGTTTAGGGTTTAGGGTTTAGGGTTTAGGGTTTAGGGTTTAGGGTTTCGGGTTTAGCGTTTGGGGCTTCGGGTTTGGGGTTTAGGTTGAGGGGAGCCCAGGCACTCCCCTCTACCAGTAATTGAGGAGCCCATGTTCCTAACAGCACAGTCGGATTCCCCATTACCCACCAGGGTTCAGGAGTCGGGACTGGGGGTTTGATGGTTGAGTGACAACTTACTGCAGCGAACTCCGCTGCCTGTCTTTACAGCCCTTTTGCATCTGGCCTGCAGCGACTCAACCAAGAAGCAAGACGCCCAAACCATGACGGCAACACGACCCCGAACTCCAAAACGCTGCTTGGCACAAAGGCCTTGCTCCAAGCGTCTTCTTGTGTCCTCGGGCGGGTTCAAGTGGGTGGCTGGCTCTTGAAGGTGCAGTTTGCTGGAGGTTTGGGGGTCAGGGCTTGGTGTGGGGGGAGGGATTGTTCCGAAGTGGCTTCTCTATAGGGCCTCCTCGATTTTTTCGGGGTTCCATGACAGAAGCTACTTATTCGGGGTGGCTCACTCAGAACAACCTCAAAACGCAGTGGCGTGCCGCGCTGGTGCATGGTTCCGCCACTTCGCCCTACATCTGTCTTCTCCGCCTTCATCGCCTCGCATCCCCTCCTCCCCCTCCATTGACCCCAATGGCCTTGCGTTCAGTTGAAGCCTGAACCCTTTAAACCCCAAACTAAACGCGACATCCCATAAATCGTCCTGCCCTCCACTACCAAGACCGATAGTATACGGGTCAGGAGAATTAACAGTTACTAATGGTATTCCCTTCTTGGCCCGTCATAAATATGCCATCATTAATCATCACCCCCCCCCCCCAACAACCTATTCTAATCATTCAGGCCCCTATATTACCGCAACCCAAGTCTCCACAAGCGCAGCTGTCGAGTCGCTCTTGGATTCCTGGGCACGGAGCGCGACGCAGCTGTCTTCAGGTTTTAGGGCTTAGGTACATCCTAACAAGGACAAAGCCCTCATCAAGGGGCTGCTCTGACGTCTGGACGCTTTCTGGACAGTGCGTTGTGATTTTGAGCTTGTCTTACAGCTTCCGACGCCAAGAAATAAGGCACTCACAGTGTGAAGCAAGAGCCCAATGGGGACCTCGAGTCTCGCCTTTCATCCCTGCCCATTCAGTATTCACCATGGTCAATACTATGGCATATGGGGAATATGAGTAGTACTCACACTATGCGCAGCAGCATTCGGATACGACAGCGTGGTATCGCAGGGCATAGCATAATATGCGAAGTAGACCTAGAAGAGAATATCATGCAGTGTAGTTGCAGTGTCATAAAGGGGCACTTGGAGGTTCAGTGTACTTCTAGCTCCAAATATAACTTACTGTACTTGTAAGCCCTCTAAGTCCTCTAGGCAGGCTATGAGTAGACTTGTAGTTGGTGTTATAAGTACCCATGAACCTCCAAGCAGAGGATACGTTTCAGACCTCGAACCACCACAGGGTTCTCAAGATCTCGACTTTCTTTGCCAAGAAGCTCTGAGGACCGACATCCACCTCGCGGCACATACCTTACCAAGCTGAGGCGCAGCTTAGTGAATTTAGGGTTTTAGAGCTTTAGGGTTTTACGGCTTTCTTGCTACATGCCGAGCAGCCTCGGAATCACACGGCTGGGTTGTTTGGTTGGAGTCTAGAGGAGGGGATGTTTGTATCTCGTTGCAGGCGCGAGGCATTCTTCCCAATCCCTCTTGTGCTTCTTCTCCTGTGGCAGTTCTTTGTACGCATGGTCACCTTCTTTGGGGTTCCAGATCTGCAGCTACTTGTTGAGGCGCTGCGTTCTTCCTGGGACTAGCTCGTCTTTGCAATAGGCATAGCCACGAATCTGATTGCTGGTGTCCGGCAAGTCGGGACTTACAGCAGGAAGCTTGACTGCTTGACCCTTGCGAGATCGGTGATCAACCTTGCCACCGCTTAGTGTGGAGTCAGGGTTGTCAGGAAAGGAGGAATATTGTTTCTCCCCAGCCTTCTTGGCTTTTTTGTCCTTCTTCTTCTTTTTCCTCGGTTGTGGCGCGAAACCCTTTTTGCCAGAGGACCCTAAACCCTAAACCTTTAACGCCGAACCTAAACCATGTTTTTGAACTTTCTGTCCAGGCAAGCGTACATACAACGACCCTAAACCCGAAACCCGAAACCCTAGGTCTCTGAATCGACGGGCATCTCACCAAACATCTCAAAAAGCGCGGCTCGCTCGTCGAGGCGGAAACCTGTTGGGAGCCACCGGGGGTGGTGGCTGTCCCTAAACCCGAAACCCTAAACCCTGAACCCTAAACCCGAAACCCTAAACCCTAAACCCAACGTGCTTGCCTGAAAGGGGCACCATGTCTCAAAGCTGACCTCACAAGCCCATCGCAAATCACAGCCGACGCGCTTGCAACCTATGTGGGCATTTCAGGGTACCCCGTTTGGGGCTTTGGGGTTTAGGGTCATATGCCACCATAGGTTATAAACCGCCTTTTGGACCGCCTCAACAGGGTGCCCTTTTTGCGGAACCTCCATTTTTGTCAAGTTAGGATGTAAATTCCCTGCCCAGGACCTCGCAAGCAAAGAACATAACCTCTAAATCCATTAGGATCGTTTAGGGTTTGGGGTGGTTGTTTGCTGAAGGGACATCTCCGAAATGAGGCATCCTGCAAACAAGTAGGCTTTGGGCTCTTTAAGGTCAAACCATCCCGAACCCTTGGGCTCCAAGGGGCCTGGGCAAGGGCAGCCGATGATCCCGCAGGGTGGCAGTTGGTCGGCAAAGAGATGGTCGACGCCCAAAGGAAGGCCTTGCTTTGAGGATATAGGGTTTAGGGGTTTAGGGCGGGGGGTGGGGGGGGGGGTGGGGAGGGGAGAGGGGGGGGGGGGTGTTCTTCGGGTCTTGCATATTTAGGTTTTAGGGCAGGAATTCTAGCTTATTGTCTTTGCTTTGTAGGGGTATGGCATTTTGAGTTGTTCTCGTTGGTGCCTCACTGGGGTGCACGGGGCATTCGAGGGAATTCTGGGGGCTTCATAAGGGTGCATAGGGCATGCAGGGTGTGGGGTCCTTAAGAACGACATGAATCCTGAATCGGTTTATGGCTCTGTGACACCATGCTTAGGGTTCATGTGGGTCATATACCTTAATAGGAAATATAGTAGTCAGGGTATATGACCCCATATTTAGGGTTCCCATGGTCCGGAAACTGCGTTCACAGTTCTTTGTGGTTCATTCACTGCGCAGTGGCTCTGAACAAGGCCAGGCGGCCCAATCGTGGCCCGGCCCACCTATCAGTCGGCAGCGGTATAGGGTTTAGGGTTTAGGGTTCAGGGCTTAGGGTTTAGGGTTTGTGGGACTTTGAGATAACCATTACTATAGTAAGGGTGCCTGTTTGGGGGGTTGGTTACTCTATAAGGGAACCTTGAACCCCAAAAAGGGGCAAAAGGGTACTGCTGGGCTATGACCAGAGAGACCTCCTCCAACAAAGGGTCCCTGCACGAGCCATCCTGAACCCCAAAACCCGGCACGTCTGCTACAGACTCTGCAAGCCCTTTATTGCCCCTGAGCCCCAAAAACCCAACTCAACCCTAAGCCAAATTCCGGGCCCCTGAGTCGCTTGAGGGCTACAGCGGCTACAGAAAGGCATGGGACTTTTGGGGCATGACATGAAATTTGAGGGTCTGGAGTTTAGGGCTCAGGTGACTCCAACGTCTTGGGTTTTGGTATGTTTGAAGATCAGGGGTGGGGGGGGTTCAATTCACACTTGAGGTTCAGGATTGAAACTTCAGCCGCGGCGCTGTGCAAACTCAGAAAAGTTCACAGCTCCATTCCCATCCTCCACAAGTGCGGCTCAGGCCATGCCACCCATAGTGACCTAGTGACCACTGACCTAGCGACCGCCCTCCGTAGAGGCTAGCGCTATACCGGGCACAAGGCAGGTGGCCCATGTTTGCATGCGGACTCCACACCGACTTACCTTGGGGACCACATGAGCCCTAACATTGGGGTCATCTACGCTAGCCAAAACCACTACAACTCCCATTAAGGTAATGTGCTGCAGAAACCGTTTCAAGGCTCCTTCGGTCCCCAAAACAAACAGAAGAAACGTGAGAAGCTCCCGAGAGGGTCGAAGCTCTCCTAGAGGCCGCAGGGGAAAGCAACGACTGCCCAAGATCTACCCTCTGAAGCTGGTGCTCCTCTCAGAACCACAAAAACATGAGCTGTTGTGTTTTTCTTGAGGTTTAAGTGCACAAAACCTAAACCCTAAACCCGAAACCCTGAACCCTAAGCCCTACACCCTAAGCCCTACACCCTAAACCCCCCCCTCCCTCGAAGCCTCGTCCAACTGCTCCCAGGATTCCTCCGTGAGCATGAGCCTCTCTCCTGCTTCCAATGACTTCCAAATACTTCGGGGCATTTCTTGGGATTAGGGTTGTTTCTGCTTTTTTTGGCACCCGACTAGCCACTGGGTTGTTTCTGCTTTAGAGTTTAGGTTTTGGGAGTTCGGGTACCGTAAATTTTTAATACCGCATGGTCGACGAGATCCCAAGGTGGTCAGGAGGTGTTCCCTACATCTAGCAAACTGTACAGCAGGAGCCTCAACGCTTTGCGCTGGGCCCACGCCGGCAAGAGAGATAGAGAGAGAGAGGTGCGTGCTCGGAAATCGGGTTTAGGGATTGAAGGGTGCGTTGGGGGATGCTTTTGTTCATCGCGAAGTCTTTGTGGGATTCTGACCCGGCCCCAACTGCTGGGGTCGACTTCAAATAACGGCTTACTCATATGTTTAATTAAGAATGTTTGTCCGTGTTGTTAACATGATTAAGATTACTATGACCAGCATTACTGATATCAATCATGCTGATCATAGTAATTTTATTTTAAAATGTCCACCATGCGAACAACTTACCTTAAACACCATGTTTATCATACTCTTGTTCATCATCTTAATCATGTTAATGTTCTAACATTAATAAATGGTCCCAAGAGTTAAGAATCTTACTCGTCATAGCAATATGTTCTAACATTAATGAATGGTCCCAAGAGTTAAGAATCTTACTCGTCATAGCAATATTGGTTTGTTCTCAAAATTAGGTAGGCTCCTTTTTAGGGTACGGTACATTACAAAAAGGAGCCCAAAACAGACCCTAGTTTATACAGAATACAAGTACGTTGTCCCTATAAATTCCGTAGGGATCCTTGAAGCCGCTCAAGGAGGGGAAGCGCCTGTTCCAACTCGGACCTGTGACAAGTGTGTGGGTTTGCTTGGGAGGGCTTAAGGGGCTTAGAAATAATTAGTATTGCTACGGCCTTTTCGATGTTATACTATGTTATGCTAGTAGAGTTCGTATGTTTTTTGCCATATGTGGTTCTTCTGTTCATACCAGGGATGCACTTCGTAAGGTCTAAGATGACTTCACGGTGTCTAGGTCATGAACAGCCCTGTGCCGGGTAGCAGGTGTGCGAGGCATGCTTTGGGTGAGGTATGAGTATGGCAGCTGATAAACATGACGAGGGCCAGTTCATATCAACTTGGGGATGCGCCACATCCACACGATAGCGGGAAAAGCATTCGTATAACCCTATAAATCTTCCAACCCTCAACTCTTGCGCTGGCACCTGGAGATCTTCCCCGAGCCATCGGCGTCCACCCATCCGAACAGAAGGTGCAGTGTCGGCAGGAAGGGCCTCACCGGCATGGGGGGTGTTCAGATTGATGAAGGGCTCTACCTTTGGGGATCATATGAACCCTTTAGGGCTTACATACCCTGATTGCTACCATTCCCTATTTAGGTATATGATCCACAAGCCCCTTTGAGGGTTCACGTCGTCTCTAAGGTCAAGGTGTGCAGGGCGGCATGGGAGAGATGGACACCCATCCTCGCCGCTGCGTTTGCCATGGGCCTGCTACAGGTACAGCATGTCTTACTATTCGTCCAACTGTTCAACCCTGCAACCCTCTTGCAACACGGTTCAACCCTGAGACCCTGAAACCCGAAATACGTACCCCGCCACCTGCAAAGTCTGCGTCCGAGCTCTGTTGGAAAAAAAACTATTGTCTGCATTTCGGAACCCCCAGCAAACCCTTCTTGCATCCAGGCCTCTCCATCCCCAAAACCTCTAACAAGCCCTAAAGACTCTACACTACTCTAAACTACTCTAAGCTACTCTAAACTACTCAAACTACTCTAAACTACTCTACACCCTAAACCCCAGACGCTAAGCCTCCCTAACCCTAAACCCTAAACCCTAAACCCTAAGCCCCAAACCAGCTGGGTCTCCCGCTGGAGCCCTTCCCTCTCGCAGCTGCGCCGGTAGTCTGGGTCGAAAGGATGGCTCCCTAAGTTTCCATTTGCGAGTTAGGGTTTAGGGTTTAGGGTTTAGGCTTTCGGGTTTAGGGTTCAGGGTTTTGGGGTTTGGGGCTGCGAAGGAATGCCCTCGGAACGGGAGCATCTGTTCAACCATACGAGTGTAACAGTGCATGATCATGAAAAACTAGTATAACAATATTGTGGAAGTATAACAATGATGGTAAGACTGACAATAGTGATAGTTTATAGCTCATCCACGGTGGGTTTCGTGTGGGGTGTGCAAGCCAGCTCACGCTTCTTGGGGTACCAGATGAACACTAAACTTGGGGTGACTTTACCTATTATGATGGCAATCTATATTGTTAAAGCAGAAGGACCATCAACCCTAAGACCCTAAGAAGAGGTTCATCTGGTCCCCAAGAGTCCGGGACCCAAGGATGCAGTTGCAAAGTCGGCCCCGATCATGTGTGTGCTCTGAACCTACTGTCTTTCTGCCTCTACCTAAACCCTGAAACCCTGAAACCACCCTACACCCTACGCCCTTGCCTGTACCACCGGAACTCGGAGCAAAAACTGCGCCTTTCCCTCTTGGCAACCCCGAACTCTCCACGGCAGCGCGAGCACCTCTAAACCCTAAACCCTAAACCCTAAACCCTAAACCCCTCACCCTCAGTCTGCAGCTTCAGCGCAAGCTTCAAGGTGCCGAGGATCCTGTCCTGATCTTCCGGGAGGCCCCGCTTCATCCCTTGCCCCGAATATTACCCCCCCCTCCCCAATAGAAACTCGAAATGTGTTTTATGGTTATGGGGATGTTTTTCTCCAAATGTCATGTTTTGGGTCCAATCAGGGTTTGGAGGGTTTAAGTCATTATCTAATTTGGGTGCGTAATGGAGCGTAGCAGAGTGTAGTAGAGCATAGCAGAGCATTGCAGAGCGTAGTAGAGCGTAGCAGAGCGTAGTAGAGTGTAGTAGAGCGTAGTAATAGTAGAGCGTTAGAGCGTAGGTAGTAGAGCGTATGAGTAGTCAGGCAGGCTGTGGAGAGCCAGGCTCACAGCTGTCGGAAGGGAGGGCTGGGAGGGAAGGGAGCTTCAGGATGTTGGTTGGTTTGAGGGTTTTGGGAGCCCTCAACCCACGCCCTATTTCGGAAGAGGTTTTAAATTGTGGGGGTGATTCGGGAGGATTTTCCGGGAAGTCTTTTTATAAATGGGGGGGGCGGGGGGGCGGGGCGTTGAATACAAGGGGGAAGCGATTGGACCCATAGAGTGGAGCAGTATGAAAAGTACAGTATTTGTGTAGTCTACAGCACATGGCTTTACAGCAATAAAGTAGATGTTGGTATAGCATAGTCGAGTCTCGTCTAGGATGGCTATAAAAAAATACCTTGGTTTTGGAGTTTTGGGGGGCAGCCGGCCTATTGAGTTCTTGGCTTCAGGCCCAGGGTTTTTAAGGCTGAGACAGGCCCATCTCCCCCGATCTTCTGTTGAGGGCTGATACCATTGTTATGATTATCAAGATTTATGATCCCCTCATTTCAAAACTCTAAGCCCTAAACTTCACCTTCTGTGCAGCACTACGGTTAGAGGCGGTATCCGCCATGAGTCCCCTAACCTCTAAGCCCTCAACCCTGAACCCTGAACCCTAAGCCCTAAACTCTAGACTTCACCTTCTGTCCAGGGCGAGGGTTTAGGGCCGGCATTGCCGCCGTGAGTCGAGCCTTGCACTTGGCGCCTTCACGGCAAACGGGACGGAGACTCATGGCCTCAGTGCAGATCAGATCTTTGGGGGGCGACATGAACCCTACAAGGGTTTGGGGCTGAGGGTTCATATACCTTGATAGGAATTATAGTAGTATAGGGTATACGACCCCAATTTTAGGCCCCAAGGGTCAGAGCCTGAGAGAACCAAAGCGTATTACTTGTGCTGCGCGTCAGGCAGAGAACTGCGCAGCAGGGAACAAGGGTCTTGGGTTTAGGGCCGGGTGAGGCACAACCCAGTCTCAGTCTGCTGTGTGGCACTGTAGCCATGGTGAAAGGTCTATCTCTCTCTCTCTCTCTCTGCCGTTGCATCCAGAGGTTGTAGCAGCGCCAAGCAACACATGAGGCTGAGCCCTTGAGGCCCCTCGACTAGGGTTTGAGGTGACAAAAAATGAGCTCAAAGATTGGTCACGTCGCCAACGCCTGCTTCTGAGGGCATACTGTTCATATCTTGTGACATTCTCCACGATTTCTAGAAATTCGAAAAATCCCCCTCATAATAAGGACCCCAATAATAGGGCACCCCCCCCCCCCCCCCCCCCCCTCCAATTTCGAATTTCGAACATCATGTCTTGCGCACCCTAAACCCTCAACCCTAAACCCTAAACCCGCCGACTGTGGCCTGGGCTGGAAGTGCTGCCGGCGCTGGCGCCGGCATCGCGCTCCCGAGCCTCAGCTGCGGGTGGCCCAGCGGCAGGGCCTCGTGAAACGAGTCTGGGGGTTTTGGGGTTTTAGGGTTTATAGGGTTTAGGGTTTATAGGGTCTAGGGTTTCAGGGTTTAGGGCTTTAGGGCTTTAGGGCTTTAGGGTTTTAGGGTTTATAGGGTTTATAGGGTTTATAGGGCTTATAGGGTTTATAGGGCTTATAGGGTTGTAGGGTTTATAGGGGTTATAGGGTTTATAGGGTTTATAGGGTGTATAGGTTTTATAGGGTTTATAGGGTTTATAGGGCTTATAGGGTTTATAGATAGGGTTTATAGGGTTTTAGGGTTTATAGTTTTTATAGGGTTTATAGGGTCTATAGGGTTTTAGGCTTATAGGGCTTTCTAGGGCTTATAGGGTTTACAGGGTTTATAGGGTTTTTGGGCTTATACGCTTTACAGGGTTTATAGTATAGCGTCTTTTGGGTTTAGGGGCTTTGTTGCTTTTGTCCCGCAAAGGGAAGGGCGTGGGAGGGCTTGGGGGAGGGGGTGGGTTGGTTGGGCTGAGGTTTGGCGAGCTTTCAGGTGCAAATGACATGCTTTTCCAGCAAAAAAACACGTGCAGGAGGTGGCAGTGATGATTCTGATGCCTGGAAGTAACCGACTCTAACCAGCACGTGTGTTTCAAAACGCTTGCTGCACATTGCTACCTTCCGCTCAGCGCGCCCAAACATCAGGTACAAATAGACACACCCAACTGCACGCACATGTGCCTTCTGCACATGGTCTCGGCCACGTTGGTAAGCAACAGTGGCAATGTTGTCCTCCACACGAATCACCTGGCGCAATGCCACTATCGGCTGTAGCTAGTTCTGAACTTTTTGGTGAAGCTCACCTCATTTTCGCTGAAGGCCCGATACCCAGACCCCCAAACCCAGAACGCGACATCCAGCCTTGCATTGTTCCCACTGGTTCGAGGTGCTGCTGAACACCTGCACAGGAATGCGAGCTTGGCAGCTGCGTGTGGGGGGGGGACAGAGGTAGTAAGCTCCACCCACGCAGCACGAAGCTTCCGATAATGAGTCGTCCACAACAGCTACCTACTAGTGGGACAAAAACTGAACTTAAAAGTTTCTTAGAGGCTGAATGCCCTAGCCCAAAGAAGGTTAACCCTTTATATAGATTAGGATTCTATACACTATACAACCAAGAAGGTTAAAGGTTCCCTACCCAATCTGCAAGGTTAAGGGGCCTATAAATGCCTTACAGATCCCTCCAGTATACCAGAAAACTCCATTAAGTTGGGCGGAGGGCCCCGAGACCTGAAGCGGAGTTGCTTCTCGTCAGGGTTTTAGTGTTTAGGGTCATAACTGAGTCCACATGTCCTGGGGGAGAGGGGGGCTAAAGAGCCCTAAATCCAGATGGGGTTTACGCTGACCGTAGAGGGAAGCCGGGGGCTTGCCAGGAGTGTGGCGAACGTTCTTGGAATCGCGCAGCTTGGCTAAACCCTAAACCCTAAACCCTAGACATCTGCCAAAAAACCCAAAAACATCCTGATGGACCCGCATCCTCACCTCAGCAGCTGCACCCACCGCAGGAACGGGAGATGAGATGACGCTGCCGCGGCCGACCTCTCTACTTTAACTACCAAATAAACCTAGTATGGTTCATAATACCTAAATAGGAATTACAGTCGTACCGGGTATGTGACGACCGCGATGTTAAAAAGCTGATTTAGATCCCCAAGGTGTAGCTTGTCCAGCAGCCTCAAAGAACGAAAAGCGGACCTTATGGAGCCCTGCTCCAACAAAGGGTTTAGAGTTCGACTCTCACACTAAGGCACGCGCAGGCAAGGATTTAGAGTTAGAGTTGAGGGGTTGGAGGGTTTAGGGCATCTTTTGTTTGAGGTGGGGCTGCAGTGCACATGCCCTCATCCCCATCTGCTCGATGATTTTTCCCTAACCCAAACCTCTAATCCCATTTGTGAACCCCCATTTCTGAATCCTGGCTCTCCTGGGGAGCATGCATGCAGCGTATGCATGAGGGGCTGGCATAGGGTTTTTTCGAGGGGCTTGGGGTCGTAGGGCTTTAGGCTTTAGGGTCTTTCACGCCCCGCCCGAAAAAACCGAACCGCACAAGAAAGAAACCCTTAGAATTAGAAACCCTTCGAACCCAGACCCCCCAAGCCCTTCATACCCTGAACTCACTTGGCACCTGCCAGGCCAAGAGTTTAAGTCTCGAGTTCAAGGGCCCTGGCCTCCGCCTTGGCATAGCCATGCGCCATGGCAGCACATCTACTTTGGATGACAGCTTGGGGAAGCGAAGATTGTTTGTGTCTTGGCCATCTGACAAGCAAGACGTGAGGGCTTAGGGTTTGGGGTTCATGGTTTTGGGTTTCGACTCTCACACTGGCATGCCAGTGTGAGAGATGAGTTTGGGTTTTGGGTTTGGGGCTTCGTGCTTTTTTGTTTAGGGGGGTTGGTCGGCTGTATTCTTCCAAAAGGCTCCGCTTCAACCCACAAGAACTAACACCTTAAAAACCCTCTGGAGCTCGAAAAGCCTGGGATTCTTGTGAAGGCTGTTGACTGTACCGCTTTTCTCACAGAGCAGTCCTCATTGTCTTGCTCAAGAGACTCGCCTCTCCCCCCCCCCTCCCCCCCCTCCCCCTAATTCCCCACCCACCCCCTGCCTCGTCTGGACTGGAGCACCACGGACCCATGTTTGGTCCAGGAGGCCGCTGAGGCCTTGGGGGAGGGAGAAGGGGGGGGGGCCTTGTGCAAGGCTTCTGAGGTTGGGTTGAGGGTTTCAGCCACGCTACTTTTCGGGTTGCAACTGAACCCAAAACGCTCATACCTCCAAGGGTCCATCCTGTAGGATTCTGATGGAATTTGATGGAATTGGCGTACCCAAAAACCCTGTTTCGTCTGGTTTTGGGGTTTTGGTTCTAGGATGGGCCCTAGAACCCTCTAAACAAGTTTCATGAACAGGATCCTCTCAAACCCAATAAGGCAAGATATGAAATACCCCAGGGCCGACCTCAAATTCCATCATGGTAGGGAAAATACAACAAACCCAAGGGCCTACCTAGAATTCCATAATGGTACTACAACCCCAAAATTCTGAAAAAAACCCAAAAAGCAGAACAGCCATTTTTGGAGCGCTTAAGGGGATCTACTTCTGGATCCTCCCGGAATTTGGGACCTGAACCCTCTGGAAAACGCGGCCGTCGATGCCCGCCTTGAAGCGCAAAGGCGCGACACAGAGACCCCTCTCTGAGGGCCGCACAGATGGCACAGTCCTTGGACAGGGATTCGGGTTGAGGGTTTGGGGTTTAGGGTTCGGGGCTTTAGGGTGGTATCTTATGCTACTTTTCTGCCACCCGTGCTGCTGGTACCGAGGCACCCTAAACCCTAAACCCCAAAAGAGCAGACAAGGCGCTCTCGGCTCCAGCTCGGGCGACTGAAGGAACGCGCCACGCACGCCGGGGCCCTGGCGCTCGAAACCTTTGAAGAGGCGAGAGCTTAGCGAGCTTGCGGGCTTTGGCGGCCCTTTTGCGGCAGGTCTCCTCACCACTGCCTGCCTCGCCCTTAACTTATAACTCCTTGTCTTGTTTAGGGTGTAGGGTTTAGGGTTTAGGGTTTAGGGTTTAGGGTTTAGGGTTTAGGGTTTAGCGTTTAGCGTTTAGGGTTTAGGGTTTAGGGTTTAGGGTTTAGGGTTCGGGGAGCTGGTGCTTTGAACCCTAGAGCCTGGGCCCAAACTGTTTGGAAACCAGACTCTCGACGTCAGCTGGCACGATTGGTCTTGGGTCAGGAACTGCAAGAAACTCCGAAACCCTCAACACCTGAACCTCAAGCAAGTCCACACCGTCCAGAGCCCAGGCCCAAACCCGGAACCCTTTCTAGGGTATGGTTGGGCTTTGGGGTTCCGGCGAAGGATGCTTTAGAGCTGCAGGGCACAGGTGTCTTTAGGAATTCTTCTGGCCTGGAGTTTAGGGTATAGGGTGTCAGCTGTCACGAGGCATGAGCTGTTCTTGAGATAGGTTCCCTTCGCCGTCCCTCTCGGGGACCGAAGGACAGAGCAAACCCTAAACCCTAACACCCACACACACCTACACCTACACCTGCACCTGCACCTACACCTACACCTGCACCTGCACCTACACCTACGCACCTTGGGACGAAATGAATCTCAGTAACCCCATCCCGAATCGTATTATACGGACCAAAACATTAGGGTTCAGCTAGTCCCCAAGGCAGACACAACACTGAACCTAAATCCTGTACACTCTTAAGACATCAATAAGTCCGCTCCTTTTTACACTGGGTAGCCCTCAGGTTTACTTGAAGAGGTTCCCTCAATCTACTTCCGGCCTGGCCCTGACATTGCCTCACAGGATTTATGAAAAGGGTCCCCAAACGTAAGGGTGCAACCTAAGGGGTCCATGGTAGAGTTCACCTAACCCTATAAACTCTAAACCCTAACACAGGCACACTTACAAAAACGGGGCGGAATAGCTACTACTAGTTTTCCCTTATGGTCCCTCTAACAATTATACTAGAATAGCCCCCCAAAACCCTGTTCTAATTGTTCAGGCCCCTATAGTAGCCCTAAACCCTAAACCCTTGCGCATAACTCTTAAGGCCCCTATAGTACACTGCCCAGCTTTGCCGCCAAAGTGCTGGCCATCGCCTCCTGGGCATCGCTCCGTCGTGCCGCCGGGGCTGTGGGTGGAGGCGGCAGGTTGTGGAGACAGCCTCCCGACTTCGGCTTCTTTGGGGGGTTAGGGTTTAGGGTTTAGGGTTTAGGGTTTAGGGTTTAGGGTTTAGGCTTTAGGGTTTACACAGCCTGGCGGGTGTCTCTAGGGTTTAGGGTGTAGACAGCCTGGCAGGGGCTTCGATACGCACACTCGCACAAGGCAGGCAAGGATACAATGTCCATCGAAGTTACCACTTTGGGGGTCTTGCAGGTGAGATTCACATCCCAGGCATGTCAACCTGTTCAGGGTTTAGGGTTTAGGCTTTAGATCTTCGTTTAGGTTTCGGCGAGCTCACGCTCGCACAAAGCAGGCAAGGAGTCAGACCCGTCTGACTACCTTGCACTGCCCACATTTTCAATCGCTACAAACACAGCAATCTGCCAACAGCCATTCCATTCCGTATCATGTACTTGGTAGCCCAATAACCATACTATAATAAGGGCACCCGTTCTTTGGTTGGTTGCTTTATAAGGGAACCCAGAACAAAGAAAAAAGGTGGCAAAGGGTACCGCTGGGCTACTAAGGAAACTCTTAAACCCCAAGCCCGACAATTCTGTGGCACAGGGGTCTCTACAGACTGGGCGTCTGGGGAGGCATCGCTGCCTTCCTAGAGTTCGCTTTGGGGTTATTTGGGTGGGTGTGTTTTGCGGGGTTAAGGGGGTGTAGGGTTTAGGGGTGGTTAGGGGGTTAACTGGTTCTGAAGGCGCTTCGGGGCTCATCACAGGCTGCTTATGTGTCTTCGTTGCGAGCTGTGTGGGAGCCTGACAGCTTAGTAGGACTTAGGTTCCGCCTGCAAAGTAGTAGACTATGACTCGGCTGCCAAAAAAAAAAGGCAATTGGGGACAAGGTAGGGCTTTTATACGGCTGGAAGGCACGGTTTGCGGATTTCGTTGCTGCTGCTTGAAGAGGGTGCGGCCGGAATCCTGAACGCTCAAAGCTTAACTCTAAAATGCCCTAAAAAGCCCAGAGAAGGGAAGCAAATAGCACCTAAACCCTTTGCCAGAGCCCTGATTCCCCAAAATCCTACACCCGCACATGTTCAGAAAGCCCCTTATACACTCTACTAACACCCCGTAGACCCTAACGCCCTCAACCCCAAAAACAACTCAGGGTTTGGGACTTGAGCCTAAACACCAGAAACACCATAAAGCCCCAAACTGGCCTGCCCAGGTTGCCAGCAGGCGGAGAGCCTGGCACAGCAGTTACACGAGCAAAGCTCTGAAGCTTGGTGACCAACATCATGAACTCCCAGAAACCATATGACTGGCCTCGTCAAGGGGAACTCTCCCTACAGAAAAAAAACACCGCTTGAAAACCACGTGCCCCTTAAGCGCGCACAGACAACCGGAAGAAAAACCCACAAACAACATGCAAGTGGACCCGTGAATCCATAGGGGTTCTGACTGAGGGTTTTGGGTCTTACAGGGCTAAGGCTAACTCAGCCCCCTTGAAACCCTAAAGCCCAATATGATAGTATCATACGGAAGGGTGCACCCTAAGCCCCGTGTCCTCCAGCTCCGTCGCAGGCAGAGTGGCTCCCTCGCCGGCGGGGCCCTTCCGCCAGGCCAGGCGTACGGCACCTCGAAGAGAGGTAGTTTCAGGCGAACCTTACCCCTGAACCCTACAATCCTAAAGCCCGAATAAGATTCCGGAAAAGCAGACAAATCCTCCCAAGGGCCTCCCTCAGAATGCGAGCAACGATGTCTTAGCCCTAAACCCTAAACCCTCATGAGGCTCAGGGTTCAGGGCCTCTAGCTTTTGCAGTGCTAAGAAGAGGGAGATTCCGTGGCTCTGGTACATGCACTGCCAGCCGCGGGAGCCCCGATAACAAGGATTAGCCCTAACGTTTTTACCTCGACACTACCAGGGAGTAAAACTCGCACCCCTCCGGTCGGATGAGCCTAAATCCCCAAACTCTAAACCTTATTGTAATCTCTGCTTTTTTGGGTGCGGGGGTTGGGGTCGGATTTCGGGGTGCCCGATCCTATCATGAGTAATCTCTGCTATTTTTTTGGGGGGGGGAGGGGGGGGGGCGGGGGCGATCCGATCATGAGGATTAGTTTGGGAGGATCCCGTATTCTGTCAGATGATATTCAACACTACCATAATCTTGTCTTTTATGTTTAGTTTCTAGAGTACCCGCGGTTCTCAAAAGAGCCACTTAAGCCAAGGGTTCCCTGACCCCAAAAGGCCATCCCCACCTCCTTCCTCTCGCTCGACGAGGCTGAGCGCCTGAATGAAGTGCTCCTCACCTGCATATTTTTTTAGACCCAAGATTCAGAAGGGGGCACCCTTTGTGGTTTAAAGGGCTTTTAAGGGAGCCTAGACCTTTTTTTGAGCAACGGACTTTGGAGGCTGACGGCAACCTAAACCCTAAATACCAGTCCTTACAGGCAAACTTTGACTTCCCTTGCACCCCCGAAAGGCCAGCAAGAAGGATGCTCGAGAGGCCGGCTGCTTGGTACGTGGGTTGGGGGGGGGGGGGGGGGGTACTCCTTTTTTTTTGCAACCCGGGCTCATTGCTGCCG